TGATTATATGCATAATAAAATGACTAGAATTGATAACAGAAGATGGAGAATAATATCCATGCCAAAGGCTATACTCCCATCGTATTCATTACCTTCAAATATGTAAGAGCAGTCAGCTTGAATTTTTATATGAAGCCAAAGCAACTGCATTGCAGAAACACAAAGATGAATAGGTGTCAACTCCGTAATACATTTGAATACTGGAACTAAACCTCTCCATTTTTACCTCAGGGCAGGCTTATAGTTAGTTGCAGATAGAAAACATATTTTAGAGAATGAGGATTCCATTTTCACTCATTTGAGTGCAAAAATAAAAAAAAAAATAACAACTAATAGGTCATGAATAAGTATGTAGAGTTCAAACCAAACATGGATTACCTACTACTTCCAACCAAACAATAGAATCTATTAAATTCATCATTTTTCAAAATGTGTTTTCAAACTTTAAGCAACCAAATGGGTCCATGAATAGGATTGTTAAGCATCCAAACACAAATAAGCCAGGCAATGATTTCAATTGTTTTAGAAGAGGTTTTCACAGCTTCTTGTATCGATTCAACTTAAAAGTAAACAATTCAACTTAAAAGTGAACATCACACCATCTATAATGTTTTTGCTATTTACTCTTCATATGCAGTTAAAAGTGCTCCCTGTTTTCATGATTAATTAAAATATAATTATTCTCTTCTTACAGAGAGGATCTTAATTATTCCATGTGATATAGTTCTTTCTCCTTTTAAGATTTAAAGAGTTTACTCCATAGTAATACTTTAGAAAACTAAAGCTAGCGTGTCACTTCGCATTTCATGCTTCAAACAAGAAATAAAGTTTCTGCATTGGCTTTGGAATCTGTACACTACAAAAATACTTCGAAGGGGTTCAATTAAAAAGAAGGTTCTTATCATCATCACTATGTGACATATCTTAGAAATTTTGATCCATTATGTAGCTCCTCAGTTGGTACAATAAGAATAAACTAAATACCAAGTTAATAGATAGATTTGAACTAAAATGTATAGTGATCAGCTCTCTATGAATATTATTCAATGAAAAGCCTATTTATACCTACAAGAGCGCTAAAACCTGCATGGGATGTCTAGGAATATAGATTTTTTTTTCTTTTCGTTCAAAAAATCGTAAGGTGCGCTTAGGGAACATCCCAATTCCCAAAGCCAACCATGTGACTTCATTTTTAAAAACTCATCCTTTCTTATAGGTTCAACTTCTACTGGTAATTGGCAAAGCATGACAAAAATGAACAATGCCTTGCTCACTATATTCATTAAATCAAACTCAATTCATGTGTAATCATTCATTTTTCCTAGTCTCTTCCATCCATCTCATCCTCCATCACTAATCCACTTTTTCATCTTAAGACAATCAGTTGATTGCCAAACAGAAGAAACAATGAGTCAATGCACTGTAAAAACTAGATGTTTAATAAAAAATGGTATCCCTAAAAGAAAATCATGCAAATGATTAGACACGGTATGGATGGATTACAGTTTCGGTTCAGTTCTGGACTCACCTAAATGACTAAATCAACCATATTGTTCTAAAAATCCCACAAAAAATTACAATAACCAACAAAACCAACCCATCCCAGATTCTTTAATAAACTAATCCATATCAGATTATTTTTCATGTTGAATTCATCGCCAAAACCACAACTGTTTGAGGAAGAAAAGTACAGGAAAGGGGAAGAAAAGAGGGTTTAGGGCAAAGCATTAGAGAGGAATTTTTTTAAGGGAATTTACATACATACCACACAATTCCTGTGAATTTGCATATCTAACACTAAAACTTTGCTTTTTTTACATTTATACCATCCAAATCTTTCATATCACATCCAATACACAACCATTTCAACTTTAAAAACGTGAAAAACGCTTCTTCAAGCATAGCACAGATGTTATGTATGTAAGAACTGATAGTTGCGTGTTATATATGTAAATACACGGGAATTGAGTGTTATGTATGTAAATTTTCCTTCTTTTTAAAGCACCATTGAAATATAGGGGGGAGGTGGCCAAAGATGGAATGACTGCACAAAAAGATAATAAAACCTGAACCTCAACACAATAAATGAACAGCCGGTAACTAGCCACGCCTAAAATTAAGATTAACCAAATAAAAGTAACTATTGCATAGGCAAATTTGGTACTTGGAATCTCAATGGGCAAATTAAGATTAGTATAGGAATTCTGTGCCCCCAAAAGCATTAGCTACACTACCTTGGTTTATACCTAGATCAAAGACCAAAAACTTGCTGGGGTACAGGCTATCAGATCCATCTTCAAAATACCAAAACTCTTGAGGAACATCATGGCATTGAGAACTGATGTCACACATGAAATTAATAAGCTAAATTACTTTGGCAAACAACTTCGGAAATCAATCATGCAATTCAAACTTAGGTCAAACCTAACAATATCAGAAGCTAGGCTTGGCGGTAAAGAAACAAGTCCATTTTGTTGCCATCTTTAAGGAAAACAGTAAAATGACAACTTCCACAGATATTGCGAAAAATACAAGGCATTAAGAATGAATCTATAAAATCTCTACATAAAAAGATATTTACTTTCAGAAGGATAGGGAACTCTTCAGCCAAAGCAACCATAATAGAAAGTGATAATAAAATGTTGAACCTGTGGTGAATGAACAAAGTATTACACAAAAGTGTGACAAGACAAAAAACATAGAAGCTGTGATAAGTAATAGCAATAACATGTTTGAACTCTTTATTGAAATCAACTTCGCATGAGTATCACAAAAAAGCAGCTCAGTATTGGATGAACGAGCAAGTGAAATATTAGGGCATGATTCAAGTACACAAAGAATGAGAAGTACCCAAATAAATCTACTACGCCTAAAATATGCAAGTGTAAAGGTCCAAGAGATATTCATCATTTGTCCAGAAAACATATGAAAACCTTTTTTTTTTAAGAATATTCTTCTAAAGAAAAAATATATAGTAAAGGCAAGAAGATTAGGAACAATTATAACTACACAATCAAGCCATAACTGCACTGAATCTCTTCGCTTGAAAATCAAACAGAAACTAAAGTTATCATAAATGGTGGAGTCATATATGATTGACTTTAAAGAATTTAAAGTTGAGATTGCCAAAGTGCATAGACTATGAAAGAATGCCACAAGGGATGAAAAACAATGTCATCCTCCATAATGTTGAAGATGTATGGAAGAGCTTTTTGTTGTAGCACTACACAACTATCTTTGTGAAAACCTATAGAATGTGTAGATAACTATGATAACGTTTATAAAATTCAGAATATTAGACAAAAAAAATATACACACGCGGTGCCTTTAATGCAACAGCCATATTAAAAATATAAAACAATAGGCCCTAGCAATAATATCATCATCATTAGTGTCATCAGAAATATTAATTTATCATTCTCCTTTTGTTCATACCGATTGCTATACGAGATGTTAAACCTCTTTTATGCAAATCATTTTGCAAAATTTATAATTGCATTAGCTTTGATCTTCCCTTTCTTCTTGTCGCTTCTTTAGCATTATTTTTTTTTTCTAACCATCAAAATGGTGCATCCTCAACTCTCTATTGTGCATGCCCATACCACTTAGTTTATTTTTACAGCCAAATCTTTGACGGATATTATTATATTATAATGTCTATGATATAATCAATTTCTCAAACCTATCCCTCAAACTCTTGTGACTCGCTCTTTTCATCCATGATTTATTTACTTAACAATCCTTTGATCCATAGAACAAAATTGGTCAAATTGCTATTTTATAAAATCTATTTTTTAATATCAATAATATGCTCTAATCACCAATTACTTGCAAGGCAACCTTATTACCATTTTTTCATATAGAAAAAGTAAGATTTTAAATCTAACACACCTACGCATCACCTTGTCAAACAATCAGTACAACAACATATATGTATGTATGTGTATATGTATAGATATGTATATATATGTATAGATATGTATGTATGTGTGTATATGTATGTATGTATGTATATGTATGTATGTATGTATGTATGCATATATGTATGTATGTATATGTATGTATGTATGTATGTATGCATATATGTATGTATCTAGATATCTAGATAGATAGATAGATAGATAGATAGATAGATAGATAGATAGATAGATAGATAGATAGATAGATAGATAGATAGATAGATAGATAGATAGATAGATAGATAGATAGATAGATAGATAGATAGATAGATATATCCATTCATCAAATTCCCATGACGTTGACTTTTTCCCTTTATTCTAATTTTCAACTTTCTTTATATAAGTCATGTCATTAGAAACTTCCACTCTGAAAAGCCTATGCCAATGCAGCAGTTTGAATGTCGTTTAGTATATCTATATAAGTAAAACAAAAATTGCAAAGCTACATCATGATACTTAACATAAAGTAATCATTATTAAGAGCTCTTTAGTCACTCCACAATCGTGCTCTAATTGTGGCATGTAATAAAGACTCCCTCTGCTATCTGCATGAATGAAACATGACCATAACATCATACATGGAAACTGTAACTAAAGATGAAACAGAAAGCTAAAAACACTCTTAAAAATGTTCCTAGACATAAAGGCATCAGAAGATATTGTTCGATTTATCAATATCCGATGCTTTTCTTCCTAATTATAATAATAAGCAAGCAACATATAAAATTATACTATGCATTAAATAAAAGGGCATTTACAAAATATAGCACACAATTCTAAATTATTTACATATCTCATACCAAAACTTTAATATTTGCATACATAGCGCTCTAATCTTTAATATCACGTCAAAAATAGCACGATTAGCACATTTAAAAAGTGAAATACACCCTTTCATGCAATGATTTAAAGTATGAAAGCCCTATGTATGTAAATATGGAAGTTAAGGTGTGAGATATGTAAATACATAAGAAATGAATTAAAGAGATGAAAAATTCCTTAAATAAAAATTGGAACCAGCAGGAAACCAAGAAATTATACCTTTCAACACTGCGATGCTCCAGCTCCAGATCAATCTTCCTCCAATCCATCCCCTTCTCTTCCAAAAGAACCTCTCGAGGCTTTGCATCACCAAAGGGATTCACCTTAGGTCGAGACTTTGCAGCTCCACCTTCTCCAGATATCTGTGAAATTGGGCTCCCAGGCCTGCTCGACTGCGCACTGGATGGCCGGCTAGAATGAGAACTCGTGGGCCTCGCAGATTTTTTATCCTCAATTTCAGTTTCCATTTTCCTCCAATCCATACCCTTCTCAGCCAAAACCTCTTCCCTTGGCCTCGCTGCTCCAAAAGGACTTGGTCGGCTCCGAACTGACTCCGACTGGGATCCTGAATCTCTTTTTGGAGGATCAAGGATGAGTCTGGGTCTTTCTCGCTCCCCATTGCTGGAAAAAGACCCCTTGCCTCCTCTAACCCAGCGATCAGAATCCGCACCAGGAACAGGAGAGTCCCTGAATCCCGATCCAAATCCAGAATTCCTTGAAGGAGGAGGAGCACTCGATTTCTTCCCCAAAGACCAATTATCGACATCATCAGCCTTAGATGATCCTCCGCTCGCAAGAGATCCATAGCGCTCTTGCCGGCCGGAATCCATAGAAGGAGTAAATTTCTTCGACGTGGCCCAGTTATCCACCTCATCTGCCCTCGAGGGCAGATCGGGATCGGTGGCCCTCGAAATTGACGCACCCCTCCTTGGCTCATCATCCATGCCAAACTCCGACCGGCGACGAGGAGGAACGCCACCGCCGCTGCCGCCATAGCCATAGGAGCGAAAGCCTCCACCAAGGCGGGAGTGCTCAAGTTCCTCGGCTGTGCGTTCCCGGGGACCAGTTGGGAGGCGGATCATCTCATCGTGGGTGAGTCCCTTGGACTCGAAGGACGGCTCTCGGCGAGCGCCTCCGGGGCCGACATAGTTGCCTGTGGTGAACTCGGAAAGCGTGAGAGAGACACCTTTCTTCTTTTTCGGCTTTGTGACCGCCTCTTTGAGGCTAGGGAAGCTCTGGGACGGCTGGCCGGCGAGGAGAGTGGAGCCCCCAGATAAGGAACCGGACGCACCATCAGCACGCTCGCGCTCCTCCGCCTCGGCGCGCTCCGCCTCAAGAGCCCAGGCGCCGACTACGCCCCAGGGCTTGGACATTTTTGCTTTTTTCGCCCTCGAATGGGATCTGAGGAGGAAGACGAAAGCCTTTTGTAGGATTAGGGCTGCGAGGGAATCCTGTGCGCGTAGGGAAGGAGGGATAGCACGGAATATGAGAAGAAGGGTGAAGCCAAGTTGCGGACGGAATATATTTGGGAATTTTGAACGTCGGAAGCCGGAGAAATGTGGTTGCTTAATGGAGAATATATTTGGAAGGTTATTTAGAAGAAAATATTTTCCAAAACATTAAAATATTCAATATTTTAATATAATGACAATTATATTGTTTGATCCTCAATTGTCTATGATGCATGCCTATATGTGCTTTGTTGGCCTATTTGGTCCTTGGGTCGCCGATTGGGTGGCATGTGTGTTTTGTCAACCTATTTGGCTTTGTGTTAGTTGGCGAATTTGATTTGACTTGTGGGGAGAACTC